GATGCTGTATCGTCCAATTGAAATTTATCGGAGCGCAACACTGCAATATCAATATCTCTTAGAAAGAAAACATATAAACAAGTCAGGTGTACTCTCTCATCTATAATGGTTGAACGAAGCGGTAATTAGGGGTTAGCTAATGAATATTTAGCATCCCCTAAAATGTACGGTCTATTATTGTATTGTTAGTATTGTTGATTAATCACGATCATTTTTTAATCGGAGAACACAATGTGCAAATATAGGGGTGCCAAATGGATGGACACGATTTTATTAATCTTTAAAAAATTAAAAACTGAAGAGGTTCTTTTAATATTTTTTAATTATTTGACCAGTTCTACAGCTTAAGAGCTTACAGGGAAATATGTAAATCAGCAATAAAAACATTTTTCGGAATGACAAATGAAAAGTACCATAATATTAAAGTAAATGTAAAAACAAATTTTTTCGGGATAAAAAATAGCCTATGTGTTATTCCAGGCTATAATCTATCTCTGTACTAAATTTCATCCAGCTCCGTTCAACCATTCTGGCGTGAAAGAGTAACAAACATCCATACATACTCACAAACTTTCACATTTATAATATTAATACGGATTATACAGATTATAAATTTTCCGTAGGCTTTTTTAAGATATACAATTTTCTAGTAGATACATTGTTATGATATACATATCTCTAAAGGTTTAGCCAGCGCTAGGCATTCGCTGCGAGCGATTAATAATTTATCCCGAAAAATGTACGGACTCTGTTTTTCTAGAAGCAAACCCGTGGAAACTGAGGGTGAGCCGCTAGTCTATACTTATAATAAAATTCTAACTGAGTCGAATCTGTACATTTAATGTTTTTTTTGAAAATTTTATATAAAAAGTCATTATTATTAATACTTTTTAAATTTTTGTCTGTCTGTGACCGCATCACGGAAAAACTACTGGAGGGATTTAAATGAAATTTGGTATGATGATAGCTGGTTAAACATTTTACTGAGGGAAAATATCTCATCTCTGAGAAATCTATACTAAACATTAAAACGTAAGTAGGGTCGAACCCGAGCTGAGCGAGGGTGAGTGGCTAGTATATAATAAAAATATGTATTGCGACTGTACCTTAGAAGATAGACATATACTACTGCAGACTTTTCTGTAGGCCATTTCAAAACCTACAATTTTCTAGTACCTATATTGTTTTGATGTAGATATGTCATAAGGTTTAGCCAGCGTTAGCCATATGTATAAATTTCTAAGGACGACTCGATAGAACTAGTTATTGTGTTTTCTCGTGGATGAAAGATTTCTCTGTAGTACCTAAAACTTTAGCTAAAAGTTATCATAAATGTTCACCCGAGTAATAAGTTATCACTACGCAAAATTTAGTTAAAATCGGTCCAATAGATACTTTTTGCGTGAAACGCGCACACACAAACAGATATACAGACAAAAAGATAAAAAAATTAATAACTATAGTTTTAAGGTCTATAATCTGTACACAATACGTTCCAGTCATTGTTTTAAAAAAATGTTTCATGTTGGTACATATTTCGTAAGTTACTGTTTTATTATGTAGGTATATGTGTGTGTAGGTTGAGTTAATAAGAGATCAAAATAACAAAACATTTGAGGATGACTGATGAGGGCAATTCTTCGCTCACTTTCGGCTCGATCGCGCGCGTGATGTTTTAATGTGACAACAAATTCAGTCAGATTACGCCCTCAACGGTCCAATTACATATGCGACCGCAAGTGTTGGTTCCCACGGCGCCCCTTTTTTTATGTCAATTAGATTAAACCATAATCTGTTTTAAGATTTTGTAGTGAGATACTCAATTATTTCATTCTTTGCAGCAAACAAAGTTAAGCAATGATTATACATTATACAACCTTACTGGCTGGAGACTGCATGTTCGGTTTCCACATCATAGATGTTTTTTTTGGTGTTAGTAAACACAACACAAATAGAGCAATAAGTAGGTATACGTTCTTTTCAGTAGATATCTCTTGTTTCCGATAAGACAGCAAAGTGATTGTACGCACTGCCTGCCCTGTGAAAAGATAAAAACATAAAAAATATGTATGTGAATTCGATTCGATAAACTGACTTCTTTCGGATTTCCATTGCATTCTTGTTATGTACTTTCAAACTTCTTCTCCTATGTAAATATGTTAGTATATATTAGGATTTTATAAGTTTGAAAACATAACAACTACCTACACCTAACTACACGACTAACAGCTGTTTTCTTCGATTTCATACTTTTTTAATGTAAGGATTCGTCTGCATATTTAGTAGTAGGTAATATTAAGCCAATGGAAATACTTACCAGCGAAGGAAGGTCAAAAATAAATTCTATAATAAATACACTTCGTTTCATATCTGTGGCTCATACCTACCTATAGTATTATAGTACCTATTTAGTTTTCATTTTTATCTCTGTAATTTAGATTAGCAGAAACTACTACTTGTCAATTAGAAATAGTAAAAATCTTATAAAAATGAGGGGCATGTTCATAAAATACCTTTACCTACCTATTTAATGTGTAGGTAGATATATTTTCTTATATAAGGTCTAAATGATGATGTTCAAAGATAATAACTAAATGTTAGAAGAATTACGATGTCTTTATGTTCACACAATTTGAAACATTATCATGAGCATCATTAGACGATACTCGTACAATACACGTTGGGGGCAAACGCTCACGCACCGTCTAACGACACAGATCATGCGAACTATTGAGATCCTTTCTTAATTTTCCTTTCTTTGTTGATATGTAGAGAACTATGAATCTCATTTAGGACTATTAAAATTCCCTTATCCTATTAATTAATTAAAATGTTTTACATTAATTTTATATATGACGAAAATAAAATTAAAGTACCTATCCAAATGATTTGGGTACCTTCAAACTTAATATATTTTACATAATCTTGAATATACCTATGGTATTAAGATTTATGAATTACTTACGAATAAAGCTATATTTTATTTTTATATTCCTCTTCTTGTACGTGACACTGTTGACAGAGCGGTCGTGGTCATCATGACAGACACTTCTTTAGGGGCAGATGTGATGCGCCTCACGATTGTTGGCTACTTTTGCTCCCTGTTGGCCGACATCAATTTTTATATAGGCATTGACTTATAAAAACAAGTTTTATATAATGTACATAGGTAACTTACTTATATGTTCGATAGGTAGGTATATAAAACTTCCTCGTTAAGTCGTATTTGTAAAGCCTGTTTGACTTTTACATTAATTTAAAACTGAATTATAATAATCCATTTAGTATGAATAAACATATTAGTTTTACCTTAAGAGCCTACTTCACCTACTTCATTTAACCGAATTTATTATCTTCTTTTTTGAAAACCTAGAATATTGCAATATTAAACATGAGTTAGGTACCTACTGTGTTAAATCACGCGAAATATTTTTATAAAAACTGAGATCATTGGATCGTGCGTTAATCGCAAATGGATCGGACATTAAATAATATGTGATACATGCGGTGCTTCTGTCCGGCAACAGTTGTTGGATAGAGATTTCCGCAAAGGGTAAAAGGGTTCATATAAATGGATTCTGCCTTTATTAATATTATCATTTAAACTAATCACATCAGTTTGTGAAAAAACCGCTTAATTAGATATCTTAGCAAAATAAGTAAGAAGACATAGGTAGGTACTTTTTTCGAGGATATGGTTATCCCTGTTGAAAAACTCCAATAGAACCAATAAATATTTATTTGTTTCTATGTGGCTTTTGTCGCTTTTGATGGGATCCTATTGGAGTTTTTAAATAGGGATGAATCTCTATAACATAAATATCTATAACAAAGAAATTGAATAGATATATTGCATTGTTAAGCATCCATTGAGGTTTCTTTTTAATGATAACATATCTATCAAAAATCATTACACATGATTCGCCCGCACTTCGCTCAAATCCTAACTGCACCGGAGCTTCCTTTATACTTTTAAACTTAGCTTGTCAGGCATAAAATTAAATTTTACATTCAAATTTCTAGTTGCAGACTATTACAATCATTGAAATAAACATTCTAACATTGTTATATTCCATTAAAATTATATGATGGACCTACTTTACTTTCTGTTTCATTTTAAGTTATTTATTATTTTATCACGATTAAAACATGTTTGTGAAACTAGCGCGAATGTAACTACACCGATTATTGTGGGTTCGATTCTCGTATATATCTTTCTATGGTTAATTAACGTCGCAAATGTAAAGCTACTTTAGTTTTTACAATAATGCTTAGACATGTAGAAGTCATAAAATCATGAAATACGATCCACCTATATTCATAACATAATAATAGCGTCACCGCGATACCTGTGTAGGGTTACAAACTGATTATTAAAATGATCGTGATTCACCCTCGTCCACAAGGTTTCACTGAGCTTCCGTACAATATGGCATTGATTCGGAGCTCTTACAAGCTCTTCTTAGTGAAAATCACTTCCCTACATTTGAGAATCGGAAAGAAACCTTAGATCAGTTTTTTTTAATATAGGTACTAATATTGCAACAAAATTATAAGTAAGAAGTAACTGTAAAGGATGTTGTTCAACAAAGATTTTGCCTCTTACATCCAAAAACTAATTTTAACTCGGCTTGTTCCTTTGGCGCCGACCATAATAATATTTTTTGCCACAATAGATTTTTTTATTATAAAAAAATACTTTTTATTATAGCTTTATTCTCAATACAAACTTTCATCCTCATTTTCACTCCCTTAAGGGACGATTTCCGGGATGAAAAGTATCCTATGTCCTTTTCAGGGTCTCAAATTATCTTCTTACCAAATCATCTAAATCAGTTCTGTAGATCCAGAGATTACCCCCTACAACGTCACAAAATTTACCTCTTTATAATATTAGTATAGATTAAGCTAGTGACAAGTCAAGTGAAATTTCATTTTTAAACTGAAATCGTAGGTTTCCGTTTTAATTGATTGTATTTTCCGAATTATTTCTATTACAGTGGCCCGGAGAAGACGTAAAGAGAGTCGGCCGCGAAGACAACGAACGACTTTCTCAGCACATCAAACGTTACGACTGGAACTGGAATATGCGAGAGGCGAATACGTTGCTCGGGCGAGAAGGTCAGGTGTAAGCGTAGACTAAAAAACTTTAATTTGAATTTTATGTGTAGGTACTAAAAAAATAAAGCTATTTTACGCAATTAATAGATATTTCAAGTTAAGCATGATATTGTTGCAGATGTGAACTTGCTTCAGCATTATCTTTAAGCGAAACTCAAGTGAAAATCTGGTTTCAAAACAGAAGGGCCAAAGATAAAAGAATTGAAAAAGCTCACTTAGACCAACAATACAGGTATGGTAGAAGATAAACCTTCTAAATAAATATTATCTTTTTGTAATATAATAATAAAAATCGTTCTATTTGCTTAGCAATGTTAGGGGCCGTTTAAGTAGTTACGTAGGGATAGTATTTCAATTATTTAGGGTGAGATTCATACTCGTAGCCTTAAAAGTCAAAGTCGTCTTTGCAAAGTGAACTTTACTACATTCCGAAGTTTATGTTCAATAGTTTTGATTTCTGTCGTAGTTGACATGTCCATATGACCTAAACTTTATCACCTCCAGGTAAATTTACAAGAAATCTATTGTTAACTGTAACGCCGGCGTGTCCGCGGTCGTGAAGGGAATAAATATAAATAAATACTTTCTGTCATAAATATTGATGTATCATGTATATACCTACTTAAGTAACTTATTCGCATACTCGATTTAGTTTACTTTAATCCCAAAGTAACCAAATAATGATTGTTCGTCTTTATAAGCAAAGTCCGAAACATTTTGTTGCCAAAAGTAGAACTTTTAGTCTAGTCACTGGGTAGGTTTTGACTTAGAACTAACTCTCCTTGGCTTTTGTAGCGAAAGCCTCATTTTGTCTTCAATGACTGGACTATTTGTCATAAAGTGTAAATGTGATCTCCACTAGAAACCCCATTCATCAATCCAATAGGTAAAAAAGAGAAAATCTTGAAATGTTACATTTTTGGTACTAGTAGTTGTAGTAAGGACTTCCTTTGCCAGTAAAAGTAAGAAAACGATGATCTCTCTGCCTCCTAAGACCCCTTTCTCATCACTTTTGCTGTCCGTCAGTCCGTCTGTCTGTCAAGACCCTTTATCTTGGGAACGCGTGGAGGTATCGACTTGAAATTAAACAATATACTCAGATCTACAGTCTCTTGAAGCTGTGATAAAATCAAACTTCTAAGTTAACGTAAAAAAAGATACGGCCGTTTATGCCGCACAAAACGTATATTTTGACACTCTTAAGTGAACCAAAATTTATAGGGTATTTTCCGTTGACCTAAATATATCAAATTTGGCAAGTAATACCGTCTAATACTATAAGTATAGGGAAAAATCTGAAAACTATACATTTGTAATTAAATAAAATCCATAAAGTAGATGATCGCCTTGGATCTTAGCAGAAATACCTAAAAAGGCAATAATGTCCCTTTATATTTTAATTAATATCTATAGTAATGGCAACATAAGATTAATAAGTTTTTTTCAAAAAATGTAAGGATTATAAATAAGACCTAAAATTAAAATATAATAATTATAAAATACTAGCGGCTCACCCACGCTTCGCTCGGGTTCATCTCTAGGAAAACAAAATCAAACCTATCCCACGGAAACCGTACATTTTCCGGGATAAAAAGTCTATGTATATAAAAGCCTATGTGTTATTCCAGACTATAATCTATCTCTGTGCCAAATTTCATCCAGATCCGATCAGCCGTTCTGGCGTGAAAGAATAACAAACATACATACAACTTGACACGTTTGGCTCAGTTTGTAGTGATCCTACTTGCTGTGCCAGCGGTTGCGGGTTCGAGTCCCGCTGGGACGTTCATTTGTGTGATAAGCACGAATGTATGTACTCCAGTCATGAGTGTTATATTTATAATATGTATGTATTTAAAGTTATAAGTGTGTAGTGTATTAACTATCTGGTATCCATAACACAGGCCTCGTAACTTACCATGGAACTACATTGTGTTGTATGTTAATGCCCCAACATATTCATTTATTTATATTTATAAACTTTCATACGGATTTCAAATAAAAATTTCAAATATTGTAGGGTACTCCAGTTCCATTTGTCCATTCCTTATAAAACCGCGACAAAATCCGAAAAGATCTAAAATCTTTATCTACGTTTCATATGAACTGTCATACATTTACATTTTCAGACATCTAGCAGCTGCCTCGGGATTCTTCCCTCCAATATTCAACACACCGTTTGGAGCTCCGCCATGTCCCTGTCTGCCGGTACATCCCACATCCAATATAGACAAATAGCCCAAATAATAAGTAATGTTCTTTATAATAATAAATTTTAAATTATTATCAATCATAAAAGCTTAAAAAGAAATCTGATCACAAATCAAAATTAAGCTTTAAAAATTTGTGCAATACAATCAAAAATTTTATGGAAATTTTCCTTAATTTTTATGAGTTATTGTCAAATAGACTTACGTACTTGTTTCTATACAAAGAACAAAATATATTCTATATTCTAAAATAAAATGAATAAAACAGTATCAACTGTTAATTATTGATATAATGATGAGAAAAATAATAGTCAGAATTTTTTTGTTCTTCTGACTATCAAATAAATTATTGAACAAATACATTATTGAAGTTATACTTCTTTTGGCACGTTTGGAAAAAATATGAGGGCAAAATTTTTACGATGCACGCGGTTGATCCAGTAAATATTAGATCTATATCTTAGTTAATTGAGGAGCTATTTGAAAAAGTGTCCGGAGACGACTTTTTTTCAAAGCGATATATCTTAGTTAATTTCAAAGTTAGCATAATAAAAAAAATGTAAGTGTTATAATAAGCTTTATAGTTTTTTTATAACTATTTCCTATGGGCGAAGCCTAAATAAAAGTATTAAAAAAATTCAAATAAAAATTTTGTCAATCGATTTCTATCAAATATAATTAAATTACCACTTTGAAAAAAATACATAATTATATTGTCTAATAGCATGCCAAGTTTCATTAAAATTCAAGAGGTGCAACATGTCAAAAAAAAATCAAAAGTAAGTGATCAGGCACTTTACGACCACCTTGTTGACATTTTTATCTTTTATAACATTTTTAGTTTTTCAATATTGGGCACGAAAGGTTTGAAAAGAAATGGAAAATATATTTTCTCAATAGAAATTAAACCGATATTCATAAAAAAATACTTTTATTAGCCCTCATCAAGTATTAAAATATTAGGTGCATCTTTGACGTACAGAACATGAAAATTATTGCCTTTACCTATGAGTTCAGCTAACTCAACAAACCTCACAAACTTTCGCATTCATAATATTGGTAGGATTATTTATCGAACGTGTGCAAGATATATATATATATATATATATATATATATATATAATAAAATATATATATATATATATATATATATATATATATAGATAAATCTTATATATGTGTAGTTCATCCAGCAGAAATATTATCCAGTATTTTTTCTATCAATGTGAAGCACGTTGTAATTAATGAAGATAGTGATGATGACTAATAAAAGTATTTTTTTATGAATATCGGTTCAATTTCTATTGAGAAAATATCTATTCTATTTCTTTTTAAGCCTTTCGTGCCCAATATTGAATAAATAAATATATTATAGAAATAAAAAACCCGACTGCATAAAAGCTAACTAAAAATATAAAAACAACATCACGATGGAATATACACGTTTCATCCTTGCCGCAAGATTTACATACTCGTATGTATGTCTCCGACTGCGTAATACTATATTCCATCGTGAACTTGTTTTTATCGTTTTAGTTAGCTTTTATGCAGTCGGGTTTTTTATTTTTATAACATATTTATTTATTTATTTACAGCTTTTTAAGTATTTTTAAGTAGGAAAATTAGCGAAAATGGTTGTTAACCAACTTTAAATCATTTTAGATCCTAAACTCTTATTTAAAATGAAAAATGATAAAAGAAACTTTATAATGATTTTTAAATACCTATTCAACGATAACCCACTTGACATAGTTCGTCGATTTTAATTTTTTTCCTTTTTCACATTAAGGAATCTAGCAGTCCCAATTTTTTATGTCACCTATCTAAGAACACTTGGAGTAATGAGACGAATCTAACTACACCTTAATTAAAGAAATCCATTTAGTAGTAGAAGATATGAGGGAATAAAGAATATTACAAATAAACATACAAAGATAGGCGCGAAAAACACAACCCTTTCTTTGCAGTCGGGTAAAAACTAAAAAGCTTATGGACGATAAAAGCGGCAACATAGTGGTCGTGAAGTGACTGCTCACTTACTTTTGATTTTTTTTGACATGTTGCACCTCTTAGATTTTAATGAAACTTGGCATGCTATTAGACAATATATAGACAATTATTATGTATTTTTTTAAAAATGGTAATTTAATTATATCTGATAGAAATCGATTGGCAAAATTTTTAGTTGCATTTTTTTAATACTTTTATTTAGGCTTGGTCCATAGGAAACAGCTATAAACACTTACATTTTGTTTTATTATGCTAGCTTTGAAATTAACTAAGATATATCGCTTTGAGAAAAAGTCGTCTCCGGACACTTTTTTTCAAATATCTCATCAATTAACTAAGATAAAGATCTAATATTTACTGGATCAATTACTATTAGTGTCCTCTACAATATAACATTGGTTACGATATAGGTTCCTATCGGGGGCACGTTCGCCTTGGAAGTACGGCTAGACCATTTGCTACATTCCTTTTACAAACAAAGAGTTGTGACATACGGTATGTAATCTTTAGCTATTTATGTTCTGTTACGCCAAAGAAGTATAACATCTTACGTGCGAACATAAGTACACACACACGTTTTTTTATCTATCACTTAGCATAATTTCTCCCTTTAAAATGACGAAACTACTGTTATTATAAGACTATGTACTTACTATTTTTACAATAGAATCGAATGTTACAATTATGCGAAAAAAACACGCAAAATTATTATTTATATATATATATAAATATATAGTTAGAGCTATATATAGTTATTTATTTTTATATATATATATATATATATATATATATATATATATATATATATATATATAGTTATAGCTGTCTTTAGATTAAAATTAGACAAGTTAGTGTAAATACGCTAGTCAGTGTTGCCACTATATTTTGTTTTGGAACATATTTGGCATACATATAGTATAAGGTTAGAATGTAAAGGAATTCAAATAAAAAACGTTATTATTATTCCATAGTTTTATTATAGTCAACTTACCATGGGCTTTTCCACGATCGGCTTGTCCAAGAGTAGAAGAGTCCATGGAAAACAGTCTCAATTTAATTTTATTGCACACAAAGACGTAATCAATGTAATACTATGTCTACATTATATCGTATTACACCAAGTAAAATATGAAGAAAAAAACAACAATATATTCTTTAAATAGTTAATAAAAATAGCTTTTTTTATTTAATAAGGAACCCCGTGAGTAAAATATTAAATACTTATATGCAAAATTTTTGAGATCATTTAAAAATATTTCCATATCAGCATTAAAATAGAAACAATTATATTATTATACATAGAATCAAACAAGACAAAATTGCACCTTTGCTTTAAATTATTGGAATGTATGTCCTTTATACTACACGCTTATGTTGCACAGCTCTTATAATAAAACAAAAAAGGGGAACACTGAATATAAACTAATGGCAAGTCCGCTGTGCTAAGTGTGTGAATAAAGTTTTAAAGATAAAACATGCTAACTCCATATTGCCTTAATAATTATTATATTAAAATTCTAACTTCATTATTATCAGAGAACATCTCATTAAATTTCTTTAGTAAATTTTTAATAATTAATATTGAAAAATAGTTATAATTTCATATTTAATTCACAAGTAATAATAATACTTTACGTTTTTTTTTCATCCTAAATGAGGAATATTATTGTAAAATACTGAATAATAAATGAATAAATAATCATATTTTTTAAATGTTCTCATAACATGTATTAGTCCATTCAATAAAGACAAAAAGAGACTTTCGCAATAAAAAGTCAAGGAGTATTCTAATTTGATAAATTTGTATCCATATTATTAACTTGATTTTACAACATTTCCCGCCGTCCAACGCCACGTTGGGATAGTATCAACATCAAGTTTTTTTCAGAATATCTTCACCAAGAGCGACGACCGCTCAAGGCAGCAAACTCATAAGTCCTAATATTAATAAAGACACCTAATTATACAAATCTATCAAATCAGAACTTTCCACTGCCTTTTAGTTACTGACTGGACTGGACTATATAAACAAATATGTTACCAAATAATATTTTAAGCAAACATAAAATAACTTTTTATACCATTAGGTCAGAGGCAAACCATAAACCTTCTTAATATCAATATTCAAAGCTATATAAAAACAATAACATATTCAACACATGGTTAGGACAAAGGACTTAGCATCTTTACGAAAGGGTCAATGTGATCAAAAGTGCTGGAACAATGAAACTAGTGCCTCACAGTACCTTAACAAACCTTATGTGATAAATGTAAGCTATGAAGTTATAAATCCCTCCTCACTAATACTTGCCTCTCGTATTTACCTGCCTAGCTCGATTAAGCGACTTGACACCTAAGCAAAAATGTTTCATATATCGACGATCAACAATACTAAGTCATATATTGAAAAATACTATTTGTTTTTAAATTGTAATTTGTTTTCAAAGAGTAAAACTAAATTCTATTCAGTCTAAATGTGATTTTTATGTATTTATGTATATTAATATCAACCTGATTCAATTGATTTAGAAAAAAATATAATTATTGATGAGTGACATGTATTAAATCATACTATAGTTTTCTAACTGAAATATTCATAGTATTAGCGTTTGTAGCATTTTATTTAATACTGATATAACTTCTAGCTCAATATGCTATAATAAATACAATTTTATGATGGGAAAAACGTTATACAGATAGTGTATGGAGTTTTTGGACAAAGATAAGGATGAGTACTTACAAGAGGCTTCGATAGTTTTAAAACCGACGCTGGTTGCCTGCAGGACCATTCTCCGAATTATTGAAATTTTCTCCGCTACCAGTGTTGTAAGTACCACCTGAATGATATTTGAATATCTAATTACATTTTTGAAAACTGTTTGGTACATTTTAGAGCTGTTTTTTGATTTAAATAACTTAACAAAATGGTGAATGAATATGACGCGTAAAATAACATATAGTTTTTATTTCGTCCAAGATATGACTAGTAGTTCTGCGAACAGTAGACCTCGCGAGCACAATAGGTAGAGAGTTGAAATTTTCAGTGTGTATTTCTGTTGCCGTTATATCGACAAATAATGAAAAAACCAAGATAGCGAATGTCAAAAAGGTTGCCATGCAAAAAACTCATGGTACGGAAAAATAATGGTACGGGACCCTTCGTGTGCGAGTCGGACACGAAGGGTTCTCGCAATTGACCGATTATGTTATGATTTGTTAATACGGTTAAAAACTATTGAATTCATTTAAATCTGCGTAATTAAATTGCAGATGAATTTTACAATATTGACCATATTTTAGTTTACACATATGTATTAATAAAATAAAAGTTTGAAAGTTTGCCGATTAACAACATATTCAAGCAAACAAACAAAGACTTAATAATGTTGAACATTAAACATTTTAAAATTCATACTATAAATAGATTGTGAACTAAAATTTCTTATGAAAATAATTCAATTATTTAAAAAAAAAATCTTTCTATTAAATGGATCGTGTTAAGCTAAAACCTTGCATCTTAAAAAATAATATCTATTTTATTACCTGCATTATACGGTTGCTGTCGAGGGTTACTATAATTCTGACGCATAGGTCCTCCACCTAGTTCTGTTGGTATCCAGAACCAAAATCCTGGCCCCAATTTTGATCTCCATATCCCTGGTTACCGCTCCAGTTACCCTCTGAATTGTCCCATGGGTTTTGATTACCCCAACCTCCTCCTTGACCGTATCCTAAATACGTATATTATCATAACACAAAAAATATTATGGAGGTACCCTTAGTAACTAATGTAAAAAATATTGTACACTTCTAACTTGCACAAAATTATCAGATTGTCAAAAATCAATAAATTGATAAATAAGATTAACTGAATGTTGTCACTTCCCAATTGTACGGTACAACATAATATAGTACTGACACCACTTCATTGAGATGTCATCCGCGCCATGCTTTCATGAAAATAACATATTAATGTTTGCCTCTTTGTCTGTTTTGATTTTTTCTAGTTTATTGCGTCGAAGCTTAGTAGGCAGTAGTAGCCTGTATATTGTTATTCTCTGACCGATTTCGGCCACGGCGGCCAATCTCATTGAGACGATTGAGATATTATAGCGCAGGGCGTGTGTCGGGATGCGTGCAGACATAAGAGCACTCTCTATTCCTATCACTCTCATAATCCGGTGGGACGACTACTCGATACGACCGGTGAGAGTTAAGGCGCAGGACCGACGGCTTTACGTGCTCTCCGAGGCACGGGGGTGAAACACCGCCAATTTCTCAACTCCAGGTTGTTACTGAGGCTTACTATACAGAAAGACTCAATAACTAAACGTGGCCTGACCCGGGACCTCCGGGTGTGCAGCCGTACATACTAGCCACTACACCGCCGAGGCAGTTAAGTCTTGCGTGTATATTACTGTACATTAGTGTACATTGGCTCTAGATGCGAGTATCAGCTGAAGCTGAATTATAGACAATACTAATGCAACTGCATTAGTTATGTAGAACTTTAGTACTTGGTTAGGTTACGTCTAAAAAGTACTTCTCGTATAATGAATATCGACAATTCATCGTAACGGTAATGTCTCACTAAGACGTTAATGGTATGTACATAGCAAATTAGATCATTTTTTTTAATATATTAAATGTATGTTGTTAGTTTAAGTTCTAATTGTAAGCTAACTTCAGTTATCAATGATTTAGTACTTATAACATTTTGGTTAGAGCAGACATATCATGTTTATAAATCATAGAAAAATTCATTAATGAAAAGGAATGTTTAGTCTTATGTCACCCGCACAATGATAACATGAAAATATTATTTTAACCACATAAAATTCACCTGAATCTCCCCAATCTCCCCCTTGCCGGTTGCCCCAACCGCGCCCTCGTCTACTGCTGTTATTGCCACCTGTTGCTGATTTGGATAATGCTTTCTTCACATCCAATCTGCGTCCTTTAATCTTGTGGTTTTGTTGTACTGAAAAATAATAACAGCAAAGTAATGTTTTCTTCCAATTTGAATTATAGAGACTATTATAAATGTGATAGTTTTACGGTTGAAACTACTGTATTTTATGATATCCTTTATTGTATTAAAATAAACTTTTAAACAAATATGTTCTGCAAAATAAAAGTAAAATTTTTAAATATGCACTTACAACATATTCTATCAACTGGATCATAATCATCAAACTCTACAAAGCCAAAGCCCCTTTTCTTGCCAGTTTCCTTTTCTGTAACTAGGCTAACTGAAACAATTTCTCCATATGTGCTAAAATACTCTCGTAGGTCCTCTTCTTCAATATCTTGTTTTAAACCAGCAACAAATAATTTCTTAACAGTTGCACTTGCATCAGGTCTTTGTATCTCGTCTCTGGGTACAGCTCTTTTTGGTTCAACAATTCTAGGACAAAAAGTTATGTAAAAAGAAAATGTGTAGTTAGCTCTTTCAACAGGGATGACGCATATTATCCATGTTCTTTATGTATTGCACCTGTGATAGAACAACATGCAATATTATTATTATTGCAATGTTTTTTTTTAGGAAACAAACTAGATTAAAATAGTAATAAGAATTGAGATGTAGGTTACCATATATTTAATTTTATTTTGCTAAGCTTGTAATTTCCTTCACATAATAAATTATAGAAAGAGTAAATTAAATAAGGTCACCTCTGTTACATTAATTGCCAATACACTAATAAAACCAGAAAAATTCAAATTATATTTATGCCATAAATACAAGATCCAGTCCTTAAGAATCTTCAGGAATATTTAACTTATTAATGAAGCCTGGCCTAATTAAGTAGTTTCCATTCACAATAAAATTCTGTCCTTTGCTAACCATTTCTTAACTGATATTTATTTATTAAAAAAAAAACTGATTTGAACATGCATCAATAGATTATAAAATTAGATAATAAAATTTCTTTAAATCAATATGAAATCATTTAAAATATTTAGACTATAATATTTTCATTCTTAGTTCTATTAATCTGGTAATATTTTTAAAAATACCTTCCATCAATTTTGTGAGGCCTATTACTTTGAGCATCATCAACCATATGTGATCTAGAATAGGTGATGAATCCAAATCCTCGGGACCTTTTAGTTTGAGGATCTTTCATAACAACTACATCAACAATCTCACCCCATTGTTCATAAAACTCTTTTAAAGATGTATCTGTTGTTCGATAATCCAAACCACCTATAAAAAGTTTTCTTGTATGTTCTGGTTCATCCTAGAATAAAAACTGACTCCTTAACACGTTAAATAAATCGGACTACTATTAAAATTGCAAAAGTTTGTAATTTTTATGTATGTTTGTATGTATCTTGCTAATGTTATAGGGCTAGACATATTTGGATGAAATTAGACTGTGATCAGGAGCAACACACAGTCTTTTAGCACGCACGCACGCGAAGCTTAGCCAAGTCTGTAGTAAAAAATAATGAAATAATGTTCATTATTTTTCAAAGATTCAAATTTAGGTACCTACTTAAATGTAAAAAAAATCAAATTTTATTCTTACATATTCGTCGCCTCCACCACTTGGCTTCATTTTGTGCTCAATAAATTTATTTAATACTTTGTTTTCTAACTCTACAATTAATATCAACAATGTTTCAGTGAGTTTTTGTAGTAAAAGACGGACAATTAAACATTAAAAGAACTTTCCAAATGTACAAAACAAATTCAGATCATGGATGACAAATAAAAATTCAGATTAAACAAACATTAACACAAAACATTTGACACGCTAGGAAAAAATAAAAACCAGAGACCAGGAACAACAAGAATAAAAAGTAAAAACTATTATTATTTGTATTTATGGATTATTTTTATTGAACAAATAAGTAAAATAAAAAATAAGAAATATATTTATTTGATTTTTTCAAAACTCATCCTTGTAAAAGAGGGTAATAAAATTTATATGGGCAAAGAATTATTTATGATCAAAATTACTTGAAACTTGGTATTTTTGCCCTTCAATACAATTAAATAAATACGTGTTTTAGTATTTTTATAAATTCAATCCCATAAGGGCGTAAAATTGGTGATGAAAGTTTGTATGAAACCCTTTAATTAATATCTAAAAAAGTACAAAAAAATTCACCAGTAGATGATTTAAGAGTTTTAAAATTACATCATGCAAATATATATATATATATATATATATATATATATATATTTATACATATATAATCTGAACTCCAACGATTTTCATGAAATTTAGTATACAGGGGTTTCGGGGGCGATAAATCGATCTAGATTAGTTTTATGTCACGTATTAGGGAAAACGTGAGTTTTCGAGTTTTCATGCGGTATTGTTTCGTATTGTTCAAAATATGGTCCCTAATTCGCACGCTAGGATATAAGCATCGTGGTCAAGTAGCCAAGGCGCAAATTTGTCAACCACAGGTGTCTGGGTTCGTAGCCCGGTCGGATACAAAGTCTCTACTTTTGTTTTTTTGTAATTATTCAAATTTTAAGTTTGTTTTTTTTAAATGTTTTTTTTGGCCTAAAATATAACTATATGATATAAGTTACGGGTTTCTTATCTGTTTTATACATTTTAATGACCTTGTTTGTTACAAGTATCACAAAAGTACGTTTTATTTCTTTAACATTTTATAATTATAAGATTTCGTCTTTTGTTTGACTTTGTGTCTTTTACCATTTTGCTTAAATTTTTGAAATTGCGAAGTAAGTGAGTTAGACTTGGTAAATTTTTTGGTGTTTGCTCGTAACTCAGAAATGTTGTTGAAGTTGGAGTTTAAAAATGTGCTGAAAAAAAAACGAGCGTAATGTAATGTAATAAAGTTCTCTCAATAAGCACGGTATCACCAATCAAAGTAGGAAGTAGGTATCATCGTTCTCTCTCCACTGTCTACGGTAAAGACGACGAAAGACGAACGATGAGACCAGTAAGGGTTTCAACACTAGAAGAACATTTGTTCTTCTTATATTGAGCCAGACAACATATTAAATAATGTGAACAAATATTTCTAAGTACCGTCACTCTCAAGTAACATAATGAACCGAGCTTTTACTTCAACGTCACTTTCATGGCAGTGGTTTTAGTATCTATGACTTGTTGTATTTCTAGAAATAGCTTGAATAATAATTTTATATTAATGAGCAGGGTCTATGCTTGGCTTTAAAGCGTGCCAGTTGAATAAATCCGATGTGGGCGCCCATATGGCATAATACCAATTACCAAATGCTATGTTATTTATACACACGAACGAATGAACAAATTCGATAGATGTGTGGACTGGTGTGTGCTAGCCATTAGTATACAAAGTTTAGTCATAGACAAATTTTCGACTTCCGTATCCGATGACAACGCAGACGCGATCGAAGTTTGCTTCGTAGAAATGATGAAACCATCTTTCTTTTTGGCGTGGCGTCAGTTGGCATCGGACGTGTAGTGAACGAGTTAATTAACTTTACGCGTCACTTTCTTTAGCGCTAAAAATCGTGCATTTTGTATTGTTATTTGAATTAATTTTTGAATATTTACATTCACTGTGACCAATATGAGGCCGCAACAGAACGGCGACGATGGTTTTGTGAGTAAAACTTTGTATTTATATAAATATCATTTTTGATATATATAGATTTCTGTGGAATCTATTCAAGTTCAGTTGAAGTAGATAAGTATAAACAAATAAATTATGTGCAATTTAAAAAGCAGTCGATTTTACCACATAAATGTAGCTTATTTAATATCCGCCATCTTGTTTTGCTTGTGTTCTACTTTTAGGATGAGCCCGAAGTCCACCGCAAAATCTTTATCGGAGGGCTAAATTATCGTACATCAGATGAGTCTTTAAAAGCTCATTTTGAAAAATGGGGAGAAATTGTGGACGTTGTTGTAATGAAGGACCCTAAAACTAAAAGGTCTCGAGGGTTTGGATTTATCACGTATTCTAAGGCGCACATGGTAGATGACGCTCAAAATAATAGGCCGCATCGTATCGATGGCCGGTAAGTTTAATCTTTTTCATATTATGTATCTACTGCAGTCCAGCTATGTGAAAATTTTTTGCTAGTTTTCGCATCGTTTTATGCTGCAAATATTGAAAGTCACCACTTGGTGATTGTCTTGTGTAAATATAACACGTGGCATTTTCCGTGGGGTCGACAATGTCATTTCAATCAAATTGGCAATTTCTATTTGTGATACCATTTAGCGTATAATATATTAATTTTTTTTCCTGTAGAATTGTGGAAACGAAACGGGCTGTAGCTAGACAAGATATTAAAAATCCTGAGGCGGGGGCTACTGTGAAGAAATTATTTATCGGTGGCATTAAAGATGACCATGATGAGGATCAATTAAGAGAGTACTTTTCTAACTATGGAAATGTACAGAATGTTAGCATAGTAACTGACAAGGGAACAGGAAAGAAGCGTGGTTTTGGTTTCGTAGAATTCGATGACTATGACCCAGTTGATAAAATTTGCTGTGAGTATCCATTTTTAATATGTACTAAATATTATTTTCAATTGTACCACAGCTTTGCCCCAGAATGGAAGTTTCTGTGTCCAAACTGGCTTCCTCTGACTGTGGATAGTAAATTATTGATTTTAGCTATACCAGACTACTAAAATAAGGGGAGATTTGGTACGCAAGTCAACAAACATACCATTCTACAATATTTGGTCATATATTATTCATTATTATTTATCAGTTCTATAAAATATGTTATTAATTTTACAGTAAATGCACCTCATAAAATTAATGGTAAACAGTTGGATGTTAAGAAAGCATTACCCAAAGATGGCTCTGAACAAAGAGGAGGTAGACAAGGTCCAGGAAGAAATGATAACTGGGGCAATGGAGGTTTGTAGTTTTTCTCATTTTTCTTTAGCTTAATTATAGAATTAATAAATTATTCACTAGAACTGTAACAAACTTGACTTCAAACATTTTTATTTCTAGTTTTAAAATTAATTGAAATTTTAAAATTTTTAGGAGGATATGGCAGCAACCAGGGTGGTGGGTGGAACAACTCAAATCCATGGGATAACAATCAAGGAGGTGGATGGGGAGGTAATCAAGGAGGAGGATATGGGGGTGGCAACCAAAGGGGAGGAGGTGGAGGCTGGGGTGGTGGTAACCAAGACTTTGGTAATTACAACCAACAGGGTTACAGCGGGGGCCCAACTCGTAACCAACAGTATGGCAATAATAGATCAACACCATACAATGTCAACCAAGGTAGTGGCGGCGGCGGCGGTGGTGGCTATGGCGGTGGCAGTTACGGCGGTGGCAACCAAGGACGAGGTGGAAGATTCTAAACGTGTGTATACCCTTTTTCACATTTACACCATTTGACTTTCCAACATCATTAATCATCACATCACTTAACATGTGTTAGGACACACTGTGTCTTTATAGGTTAATTTGGGTTCTATTTAGGTATATTGAGCACTCATAGCATTAATATTTACTTTAGGATGATAGTTGTCAGTTGAGGATTAATGCTATGAAGGTATAATTAGTTTATATATGTACATATACGTGTTATTAAAGGTTTTTTCAATCTCTAGGTTTCGTGCTAAGTACACTAGTAGTGCAGAATATGTCTAGTGTAGGCAGCTTCGGAGCACTAGTTACTCGACCTTGGTCTACATGCGAGACCCCATAGAAGCCGTCAGGAATACCATAGATATAGTTTGGACCTCGTTATATTTTTTAGAAACTATGAATAGATTTTAAATATGTACTGCTATGTAAGTTGATCTATTTATTGTAGTACTTTAGGTACTTACGTGACATACTTGTAAGGAATATAGTTTGTGAAATCGATAGTTACTTTTATACGGATATAAGTACAATGTAGGAATATCTTGTAAGAGAAATGAATTAGAAGCTAGGAAATTCAGATTTAAGATGACATAGATTATAAATGATCATGACTTTAATTTTGCTGACTTATTCAGTATTAAGTTTTCAAATAGATGTTATATGAAAACAATAGGTGTATAGTGATTTATAGGTTAATTAATGTAATAAAATTTTAATACAAAACCTGTAGGGTTGTTTATTTAGAACTGTAAATATTCCTTTTCTGCTAGGGCATACAATTGATATTACATCACTCCACTTCCAATAAACAGAAGATTATTTTAGAATATAAAAATCGGATTATTAAATATGAAACAATTTTGTTAGTTTTTTTCTTACCCATAAATACCGGTGTTATGTATAAATGCCGCAATTTAATCCTTAATTTTATGTTCCAATATCTAATTAAATAGAAATTTTAGATTCTTTGTCTATAATAGTCTTAATTTTTAATTGTGAAAATTTCTAGGTGTTATTTTCTTTAGTTTTTCTTACTCTGTAGTTAATTTTAATAAAATATTTATTAAAAAAATTATTCACACTATTTTCAAATAACCCATTTACATGCATTCTTAGTGATCAATGCAGGATATTTTCGAGAATTGGAGATAGCACCAAATACATTATGGTAGGTAAAATATTTAATGTTTTAGATAGATTTCGAATTTATACCCCAAAAAAAGTGCCGATCCCGTTAAATTATATGTATGTACAAATACTTATTAGGTTCTTGCATAATATGAAATTGGCGTTTTATATGGAAAAGCAAGACAAAAACAAAAAATGAAATATTTTATTAATTATGAAATTATACAATCAAAATATGTAATACCATTGTTATCTCACTTGCGTTATTTTATATGTAGATTGATTCCTTTGCTGAAAAAATTGTACGATCAAGAATCGATAAAATCTTTGAAGGTGGGTTTGAGTGCCTCATCGGAATTAACTTTTTTTCCTTGCAAGAAATTGTCCAAATTTCGGAATAAGTGGTAATCTGTTGAAGCAAGGTCTGGACAGTATGGTTGGTGTCGGAGACATTCCAATTTGTAGCTCCTCTAATTTAGCGACCGTCTGCTGTGCAGTGTGGTCTAGCGTTCTCCTGAAGCAGCAGTGGGCTAGAGCAATTGACCAGTCCTTGAACGGCTAGCTTTTCCCATTATGGTTTACAATTGTTGACAATACAGATCTGCCGTAATCGTCCGGCCAGATCTTAGGGAGCTGTAGTAGATGAATCTAGCACTGGTTCACCAGACACTTTCTAGTACCATTTTCTGAGTCGACTTTCGCTTGGAGGCATGATTTGGCCGGTTCTCCTGGGTTTTTAACCATTGTAATGGGTTTTTGATTGTTGTACAGGATCCATTTTTCATAACAAGTAACGATACTATTCAAAATCGCCTTGTTATTGTGACGGTTGAGTAACCAAGCACTATACGTTTTTGTTGGTGTGCTTCACTTAATTTATGCGGTATCCGTTTTTTGAGCTTTTTTACTTTTCCAATTTGTTTCAAGTTAATTAAGATTGTTTAATCACTCACACCGAACTACCGCTAACTCGGACGTGGTTTGCGATGGATCGGCTTCCACGGTTACTTTTAATTCTTCATTCTCAACGGTCTTCAGCCGTTGACGGAGATTGTTCTGTAGGTCAAAATTTGCAGAACGAAAACGTTGGAACCAAAAAACGTACGTAACATAACGTGTTCTTTTATAGTTACTTCCCCATACAGTCGTTTCTGCAGCGCTGGTGCGACACTGCAACTCGTATTCGTAATTATCGCTATATTTTAAGTTTCCCATATAATTTTGAACAGAACGATGTCAAAGAAAAATCAAATGGCGCGAAAACAAATGAACCACTAAATTCGAAACACAAATACACTAGCCTAAATTTGAAATAAATTTAGATTTGGAATTGCTAACCTATTATAACGTCAGATATTTGAGACCAATGTGGCCAGTTCCACAAAATGCCACTTTCATATGTAAGGGCCTAATAAAATTACGAAGACACTTAAAAATTTTAAAAGATGTTCGTTTCTAAGTCGCGAAGCCTCCGGTTTTATTTAATTGAACCGGTTGTACAATAGAGGCAAACTAGAATTAAAAAAAAAAGGATTGAAGGGGCATAGAGTGCATAATAAAAATATGGGGTGAATGAAAAATGCCTACTGATTTATTTGTTCGAGTAATTTAAAGTTAAACAAGACACATGTACGAATATTTAGCCACTGACGAAAGTACGTTCGCTCTTAGCGGTTTCTCAAAAAGTGCTAATACCAGCTCATTGTTACCTATTCACATGGCGTGATGTGGCGAAAGAGCATTCATAGTAACGTGGAATTAAGAGCTCTAGCTGTTATTTTGACCGCATAAATAAGTTTGTTGTTTGGGTACGAAGTTTGAATGGCGAGACTAGTGAAAGGATTTTAGATTGGTATTGAGGAAGGAATAGAAATGCTAGAATTGATCTTGAACGAAAGAACACTATGTTAGTTTTTTTTAAACGGTTTTATTTATATAGCTTGCCCTGTTTATTATGGTCTGATATTTGGTACACACCTTTAGTTCTGATGACAAAACAATTGAATATATTCAGTATCATTGTAAATCCAAGATGGCCACCACCACAAAATAACTGATTACATATTTTTCCACAACCCCCTCAATATGGGTATTAAATGATAGGGTTTACAAGTAGAACACAATGCATAGCGGAACAAAGAAAATAAAATAAGTGTAAAACAATGAAACACTTTTCCTGATATCATCGTTATATTGACAGCAATTAATAAAATTTATATACACAACAGAAAATCATACGTTCCGCCCAAACGTAAATCAAAATGTCCTCGTCGTCATACTTTTCCTGCCTGCCTGGCACCTGCGTAGACGAACACCACAGAGGTTGTATGAAGGCGTACTTGATGTCTTCGAATAAACTAGCGGCGCGTGACATAAGTAAAATTCATTCAGGTTACGCCATGCCCCACGATTTTATTTTTGAGTCTGATTAATGACTTAAGATTGATGAGAGTGGTCACCGGTACCTACCTAATTATTTTTTATCTGTCATTACATTATCCACATCATTATTATCTTCTTTTCAATAAAACCAGTTCAACTTGATTTTTCTTATTTAGTACATGAAAAGTACAACTAACTGGCAAGCCTAAGAAACGTACAACAGTGGTTATGAGTATTTAGGAAAGATTTATCCGCTAGTAGGTAACTCTATTTCGAAAATAAGAAAAGCTCAATGCAAAGTTGTAAATTGTTCAACTAAAACGAGTAAACAAGTTTAGGATTTATCGCATTATATTTTATTGATCTATCAGTAGTAACAACTGCTTGTATGTCACGGCCTGATCACGCTTAGGCGTGTGAGGATCGTATTACTCCTAGCAATTATTCTAAGCCGTCTCCTTTACGGCAAGACCTCCATCGGATAGTTACGTAAGCCGTGGCCTGAACCTCGCAGGATGTACCCTTTCGAAACTTACAATTTCTAGGTAGGGCCTTCTGTCCGCCTCCCAGTCAGGTGATGTAACGCTGTCAAGGCCAGTAGGACCAACATAACTAGACATTCCAAAAAAAAGGGTAACAACATCTTTCAATGTCTACTATAACTATCTAGGGTTATTTTTCTACTAGCGCCAACAAAGGTATAATTGTGTGTCTACTAGCGCTCTAGATAGATGGTAGATACGTAGTTGTAATGAACAGATCATAGATGTCGCACTGTTGCTGTTGACATTTTTTATTCCTGAGACAGGAGTAGGATTGGTTAATGAAGTTAGTGGAATGAACGTGTCTATATATTAAATGCCTTGTGATAAAAGCTCGTCGGAGTTTAAAATGTGTAAAAAATCTATTAAAATAAAAATTAGCTCTGATTATATAGATAGTTGTTTTTAACCAACTTTCAAAAAGGAGGAGGTTCTCAATTCGTCGGAATCTTTTTTTTTTAAATGTATGTTCACCGATTACTCGAAGACGCCTAAACCGATTTGGATTTTTTTTGGTTTAAAAGGGTAAACTTCCCTGGTGGTCCCATATAAATTTTATCTAAATCGGTCAAGCGGTTTTTTTAAACTACAAATATATTTTTTTAATTAAATTGCTTAATCGAAAATGTTAATAAAAAACTTTCTTCTAACAAATTACGTGCTTATTACGTCTACACTAAAAATGGACAAATAAAAACAAAAAAAAACCGACTTCTAGGTACTAAAATGTAAAAAATAACTATACGGGGGTTTTCATTTAGAATAGATACCTAATCAGATATTTTCGTAATCGGTGCCAGTCTACAATATTTTAATTTCCACGATCGCGGACACGCCGGCGTGTCAGTTAACAATAGATTTCTTAGAATTTTAATTAATTTCTTAAAAATTTATCTGGAGGTGTTAAGATATGAATATCTAATAGGTAAATATGTGTTTTACGTATCGAAATATATTAGATTTGCTTTGCATCGGCTGGCACCGACTTCGAAAAGATCTGATTAGGCGTTCTTCAAAATCGATGTTTCTTTTATAGACTAGACTCTCGGGTCCAAGGTCAAAGAATAAGGAAGAGAAAGGGTCACAGAATGCCAGATGTAATGTACGTAGATAGCAATGAGTTATCATACTTTTCCAATACTAAATTTAATTACAATAGTAAATTTTTAGTCTGTAATATTTGCAAATATGTAAACCAAAGTATCCACCGATGGTTATTACTACTTACTGCTAGTAAGTACCAAGCCGGGCTATGAACGGCTCCTTTTAGTACCGGCGACTACTA